CCAGATCCAGGAGGTAGAGAGAGCCCCCCCCCCAAAAAAAATCAACCCAAGGAGATCTGCACCAAGACATGTAATTAAAATGTCAAAAAGAAGTGATCAAGAGAATTTTAGATGCAGCAAGAGGAAGGAAAACAGTTGCATGCAATGGAAACCCCGTAAGGCTATCAGCTGATTATGCAGCAGAAACTATGCAGGCCAGAAGAGAGAGGCATGATCAATTCAAAGTGCTGAAAGGAAAAACCTGCAACCAAGAATATTCTATCCAGCAAGGCTCTCATTCAGAACAGAGGGAGAGATAAAGAGTTTCTCAGACAAATGAAAGTTAAAGGGGTTCACAACCACTAAATCAACCCTACAAGAAATGTTAAAGGGGACTCATTGTGGGTTTTTTTGGTTTTTAAATTTATTTATTTTTATTTAAATTCAATTAACATATAATGTATTACTGGTTTCACAGGTAGAGGTCAGTGATTCATCAGTCTTATGTAATACCTAGTACTCATTATAATGAAAATGAAAACACAATGGTCCAAAATCTTTGGGATGCAGCAAAAGTGGTTCTAAGGGGAAGTTTATAGCAATACAGGTCTACCTCAACAAAGAAGAAAAATCTCAGACAACTTAACTTTACAACTAAAGGAACTAGAAAAAGAAGAACAAACAAAACTCAAAACTAGTAGAAGGAAGGAAATAATAAAGATCAGAGCAGAAATAAACAAAATAGAAACTAAAAAAACAATAGTACAGATCAATGAAACCAAGAGACAGTTCTTTGAAAAGATCAACAAAATTGATAAACTTTTGGCCAGAGTCATCTTAAAAAAAAAAAAAAAGAGGGCTCAAATAAACAAAATAAGAAATGAAAGAGGAGAAATACAACTAACATCACAGAAATACAAAGGATTATAAGAGAATATTATGAAAAATTATATGCTAACAAATTGGACAACCTAGGAGAAATGCATAAATTCCTCGAAACTTATAACCTCCCAAAACTAAATCAGGGAGAAATAGAAACTCTGATCAGACTATCAGCAATGAAATTGAATCAGTAATCAAAAATCTCCCAAAAACCAAAAGTCCAGGACCAGACGGCTTCACAGGCGAATTCTACCAAACATTTAAAGAAGAGTTAATACCTATTCTTCAAGCTATTCAAAAAAATTGAAGAGGAAAGAAAGCTTCTAAATTCATAGTATGAGACCAGCATTACCCTGATAACAAAATGACAGAAAGATACTACAAAAGAAGAGAACTGTAGGTCAATATCTCTGGTGAACATATATGCAAAAATCCTCAACAAAGTATTAGCAAACTGAATCCAACAATACACTAAAAAAAATCATTCACCATGATCAAGTGGGATTTATTCCCAGGATACAATGGTGGTTCAATATTTGCAAATCATTCAACATGATTCATCACCTCAACAAGAGAAAGGATAAAAAACATATGGTCATATCAATAAACACACAAAAAATCATTTGACAAAGTACAACATCCATTCATGATAAAGACTCTCAACAAAGTAGGTTTAGAGGGAACATACCTCAACATAATAAAGGCCATATATGAAAAACCCACAGGTAATACCATCCTAAATGCAGAAAAACTGAGACCTTTTCCTCTATGGTCAAACAAGACAAGGATGTCTACTCTCACCACTTTTGTTCAATATAGTACTGGAAGTCCTAGCCACAGTAATTAGACAAGAAAAAAGGAATGGGGCGCCTGGGTGGCTCAGTTGGTTAAGCGACTGCCTTCGGCTCAGGTCATGATCCTGGAGTCCCGGGATCGAGTCCCGCATCAGGCTCCCTGCTCGGCGGGGAGTCTGCTTCTCCCTCTGACCCTCCTCCCTCTCATGCTCTCTGTCTCTTATCCTCTCTGTCTCAAATAAATAAATAAAATCTTAAAAAAAAAAAAAAGAAAAAAGGAATAAAAGATATCCAAATTGGTAAGGATGTTTGCAGAATGACATGATACTATACATAAAAAATCATAAAGACTCCACCAAAAAGCTACTAGAACTGATAAAGGAATTCAGTAAGGTTGTATGATATAAAATCAATATACAGAAATCCATTGTATTTCTATACCCTAAGAATGAAGTAGCAGTAAGAGAAATTAAGAAAATAGTCCCATTTACAAAAGCACCCAAAATAATAAAATATCTAGGAATAAACTTAACAAAGCAGGTGAAAGACCTGTACTTTGACTATAAATGATAAAACACTGATGAAATAAATTTAAGATGACATGAACAAATGGAAAGATATTCCATGCACATGGACAGGAAGAACAAATATTGCTAAAATATTTATACTACCCAAAGCAATCTACACATTAATGCAATCCCTATCAAAATACCAACAGGGCGCCTGGGTGGCTCAGATGGTTAAGCGTCTGCCTTTGGCTCAGGTCATGATCCCAGGGTCCTGGGATCGAGTCCCGCATCGGGCTCTCTGCTCCTTGGGAGCCTGCTTCTCCCTCTGCCTCTCTGTCTCTCTGTCTCTCATGAATAAATAAATAAAAATTTAAAAAAAATTATCATTAAAAAAAAAATACCAACAGCATTTTTCACAGAATGAGAACAATCAATCCTAAATTCGCAGAAGACCCCAAAAAGCCAAAGCAATCTTGAAGAAGAAGAACAAAGCTGGAGGCATCACAATCTGAGATTTCAAGATATACTACAAATCAGTAGTAATCAAAACAATATGGTACTGACACAAAAATAGACACATAGAGGGGCGCCTGGGTGGCTCATTCGATTAGGTGTCCAACTCTTGATTTTGGCTCAGGTCATGATCTCAGGGTCGTGAGATCAGGCCCTGTGCATCGGCCCCATGCTCTGTGGAGCCTACTGGGGATTCTCTCTCTCTCTCTCCCTGTGCCCATCCTTGCCACTCATGCTCTGTCTCTCTAAAAAAAAAAAAAAGATACACAGATCAATACAACAGAATAGCGAGCTCAGAAATAAACCCACAATTATATGGTCAATTAATTTTCAACAAAGGAGGCAAGAATATGCAATGGGAAAAAGTCGCTTCAACAAATGGTCTTGGGAAAACTGGACAGCAACATGCAAAAGAATGAAACTGCTTTCTTATGCCATACACGAAAATAAACTCAAAATGGATTAAAGACCTAAATGTGAAAACCTGAAACCATAAAAATCCTAGAAGAGAGCACAGGCAGTAATGTCTCTGACATCAGCCATACTAACTTCTTTTTAGATATTTCTCCTGAGGCAGGGGAAACAAAAGCAAAAATAAACCAACAGGACTACATCAAAATAAAAAGCTTCTGCACAGCAAAGGAAACCATCGACAAAACTAAACAACCACCTACTGAATGGGAGAAGATATTTGCAAATGACATATCTGATAAAGGTTAACATCCGAAACACATAAAGAATTTATACATCTCAATTCCAAAACCCCCAAATAATCTCATTAAAAAATGGACAGAAGACATGAACAGATATTTCTCCAAAGAAGACATGCAGATGGTCAATAGATACATGGAAAGATGCCTAACATCACTCATCATCAGGGAAAGACAAATCAAAACCACAATGAGATCACACCTCACACCTGTCAGAATGGCTAAAATCCAAAACACAAGAAACGACAGGTGTTGGTGAGGATGTGGGGAAAAAAGGAACCCTCGCGTACTATTAGTGGGAATGCAAACTGGTGCAGCCACTGTGGAAAACAGTATGGAGGTTCCTTGAAAAATTAAAAGAACTACCATATGATCCAGTAATTCCACTATAGGGTATTTACCCAAAAAATACAAGAACACTAATTCAAAAAGATATATGCACCCTTATGTTTATCACAGCATTATTTACAATAGCCAAATTATGGAAGCAGCCCAAGTGTCCACAGAGGAATGGATAAAGAAGATGTGGTCTGTATATACAATGGAATACTACTCAGTCATAAAAAAAATGAAATCTTGGGCGCCTGGGTGGCTCAGTCGGTTAAGCGACTGCCTTCGGCTCAGGTCATGATCCCAGAGTCCCTGGATGGAATCCCACATCTGGCTCCCTGCTCAGTGGGGAGTTTGCTTCTCCCTCTGACCCTCTCTCCTCTCATGCTCTCTCTCACTCTCTCTCTCAAATAAATAAATAAAATCTTTAAAAAAAAAGAAATCTTACCATTTGCAACAACATGGGTGGATCTAGAGGGTATAATGTTAAATGAAGTCAGTCAGAGAAAGAAAATACTGTATGATTTCACTCATATGTGTAATTTAAGAAACAAAACAAATGAACAAAGGAAATAAAAAGACAAACCAAGAAAGAGACTCTTAATTGTAGAGAACACACTGCTGGTTACCGGGG